CAGTCGTGCAGTGCATTGGACAGAAAAGGATACATGAGAGCAGTGCAAAGCATGGGAGTGCAGAGATGAATACCTCTGAAGTGACCAATACCAGATTTCGATGTGCAGGTCATCTTCCCTTTTCTGATGATATTGAAGGATGGAAACACCGAAAAACCTGAAAGTCATTAAAGAAAATGATGTAAAGAGTTCATGGTGTTTAATTTATCATATGGAAGTCTGAGAGATGATTCAATTATTTGATTAAAGCAGAGAATAGATATCTGAGATCAAAACTAACTGGACAGTAAAGCATTTCTTCATCAGGTAGACAGAGATGTGGAAAGAATCAATAGCTATAAATTAGAGTCTCCTGCAGGCGACACCTGTAAGTAAAACCTATTTAAAGACAGGATACTGGATATGAACAGTAAAGTATCTTTCCCAGCAATGCAGGCAGACTGTGAAGAGGGTGGGATATTAGCACAAAAGAGTGTGAAGAATGAGTTTAAAATTGAAGAGTTACTTGACCTCCCCGCAAAAAAGAATATGCCATGCTTTTCACTCCACCATGTTCTAAAAATCCCTTCACTGCCTACAACTTCCCATGCATACATATGCTGTGATTGGTTTGAACCTGAGCAGTTCAGAAGTGACTTGGACAACCTGGTAGTCCCAGTTCGAACTGGAGGCAGCCTGTGGGCTGTTCTGGTGAATGGGAGACCCTTCACATTGATCTGGCTGAACTCTGTGGTGCTTGCCGATGCCAGCTTCTACTGCAGAACATCCGTGCAAGCCACAGTACTACTCCCAGCCCCAAGGCAGCAGTGCTGGTGGCTCGCTCCATTCTGGCTGTAACCACGAGTCTGCACAACTTGGTTGTTTAAACACTTCGTACAACAGGGTAGAACTGTGAATGCTAAGTAGCTTTTCTGATTGGTTTTGGTTTGAACCCATGTGGGCATTCCTTCCTTTTTCTTGTACACCATGAATAATACATCTACCAAAAAATGCCATGGAAGGGCGCAAATGCAGGGACACAAGCATCCATGCTTTTTAACTGTGACAATGGTACCCAGCCATCTTCTTAATCTGGACTAACATTATTCTTCCAGAATTGCTTTCAAGTACATTTCAGGAGTTGGAATACAAATAAGGGCTACTTTATGCCAGTTAGACTCACTGCAGGAGAAGGGTCCCAGATTCATTTCATTTGCTAGCCAACATGTGGTCTGGGGGTCTTAATAAATCTTACTGCACAGGAGATTCCTATGCCTTCTTTCCTGCATCTCTAGCAATGAAAAGAGTATCAGTTTTAAATACAGTGCACTAGTTATTCTGAGTTACAGAAAAAACAATTGAAAAAAAGAAACCCCAGCAATAGGCAAATCAGCCTCACTTGTTGGTATTATATAATGAGAATATTTTTTCTAAGAGTACAATATATATATATGTATTTTTCACAGCTGTGGAAAAGATCATGTGAAGCTACTTGATAAATATTGAAAGCAAATCTGCATTTCAGAAGAATAGATCTTAATTTTGCTTTAAATGACATATGGCAGCAATATGGATGCAATATGAACTGTGATGAATAAGTTTTATCCTCCGGGGGAAAAAAAAGCCCCAACAAACCAACAGATAATACTTTTGATTTCTCAGCATTTTTTTTAAACAACCTTAAGAATTATTTTTTAATGGGATATTAATGGTACTATGAAATAAAAGGTTTCAGTATTGCAGATCTAGGTTAATTGTCATTACACTATGGAAATAATGCTCCTATCCTGAAACATATGTAGAGTCCTTTGCTGTGTCTTGCTGACCTCCTTTGAGCCAGAGCTGTGAGAACAGACTCTGTCATCCAATATCCTTTACTATCAATAGAAAGAGTCTCCCGAGGCTCAGTTATCTTTGGATCAGGTCCCAGAACATCTCAAGATTTACAGGACTTGGAAGAGCAAAAATTATTGTATGAACAAAATCCTGATCCTGCTGCTTCTTAGGTAAATAAATTCAGATTATTTCTGTAAGACTGAGATCCAGCCATGATGCATAAATGCATCATCCTGCTTATTTGTGGCAAGACATGTGATTGAAAGTCATTAATGAACAAGTTGCTAAATACCAAATCTGTGTGGAAACTAATTAGACCTCTTATTCAGCTGAATAATGGGATTTTAAAAAGTTGTTTATTTTATTCTATCACGTTATTTTTATGCAGGAAAAGATGAAAATACTGCATGCTTCTGAGTGAGTCAAAAACCATCCTAAACATAAATACAATCAACTTGATATACCAAGAGCAGGTAAATGGCATTCTCTATGCTGCTCACATCTATCTTCCCTGCTTCTCTTTTCTTATCACTTGTCTTAATTAAAATAAAAAGGGTAGCTGGCTCATAAAATGGAATTCTTAGGCAGGTTAACTGCTCCTAGTTAATGACCTGAACTTTCAACCTCCATTTCTGGGTCTGAAGAATGAGGAAGAAGTGATCAGTGCATTAGATACAATCACGCAGAAGGGAATAGTAACAAAGTCAACAACAGAAAGCAAGCAAGACAGAAGGAGAGAAAACATACACCACTGGAACTCAGTGTGTTTCATTTTCTTTATTCACTTCTTCCATTTTATTAGCCAGCAGTAGAAAACAGGAGCTGGGAGGAGAATCACAGTTCCAGCGATGTATAAACAGCTGACTTATTTGTTGCTCTTTATATTTCTGAGAAAAAAAAAGGACTATACAAGCACTTTCATTAATTAAACACTGTGTTGTGCCATATTATAATAGAAAAGTAATTTATCTGGAGTATATATACCACCAAAAGAGAAAATAGTGAGCTGAAGTTTTTCCAGACCTGAAGGCCATATATACAGTCTCAAATCAATCTTTTTATGCTCTGCTTGGTAAGTAAACACTCTGTAATCTGTCTCCATCCTACAGAGCAAAGGTCATTCTTTGACAGTTCAAGCAGGACCTCATAACAGTAACCACACAGATTCAAATAAAGGCTCCATATGGGACAGTATCCTGTGCTCAGCAGTGAGCAGAAGCAAATGTTGAAGAGTAATGATAAGAAAAACATCTATGAGACCACTCCCGACTACTTTCCTGGGCTTGGACTACCTTTGGTTCATGGGATTTCCTGAGCCAGGTGGGGTTTATCTACCTCTGTCTGATTCTCTCTACCAAGCATTTGTCCCATTCCCCCTTCAACTCAGCAAAGTTTTTTCTATCCATAGTATCCATTGGCAAATAGTTCTACAAGACTGTTAAACCTTGCTTGAGAAAAATCACCTCTTTCTGCATGCTTTGAAGCTGTCTCTTGTTGTCTTTAACTTGCTGGCCCCTAGTTTTTGGGCTGAAAGACAGCGTAGGCTCCAGACCACTTGTGGCTTTGTAAATACAGGAAAGTATCAGTCATAGCTGTCATCCGTGGGCTCTCTCTCAAGCTGAAGAGTCCCTGTCTATTCATGTTTTCCTAGTACAGAAGCTATTTCACATCTACAGTCATCTCGGCAGCCCTTCTCTAACTCTTTTCCAGATCTCCTCCAGGGAACCAGAACGGCACACAGTATTCAAGTTTGGAGTGAACTGTGGGTTTATGCAGTAGCACAGTGACATTTTCTCCTTTGTTCACAAACTCCTTTTCTAACAACTTGTAACTCTCCATATGACATCTCACCAGCACCAATCACTGAGCTAATGTTATCATGGAACTTTCTAATATGATCCTTGAGTCTTGTTTCTGTATGGTAATGGTCAAGAGGCCGTGAATCTTCATGTGAAACTAGGGGTTTGGGCTTTTTTGCTTGCTATGTGCAATGCTTTACATTATCTGTCTGAATTTCTTCTGACACTTTGTTGCCCAGCCACCAAGCCTTTTCAGGTCCTACAATGTGTATTCATCTTTATTCTGCCAAATAACTTTCTCATTAGCCAATTTTCTCATTGCACCAACTGATCTCTCTTCTGGGTCATCTTTGACCATACTGAATGGCACAATTTTCAGCCCACTTCCCTGTAAGATTCTTCTGGAAACAATTCTCCCCTGCAAGAATTAAACATTTGCCCCTGTTCTTCATTTTCTATCTGGCAATCAGTTCTTTATTCAATCTAGGATTTCTCCCCTTATGCCATTGCTTTAGTTCCTTGAAAGACTTTGGCTAAGGATTTCACCAGAAGCTGATGGGAAGTTTAAGTCTTACCTATATCATTACTGACCCCTGGAAAAATTCATTAGAGGTTTACAAAAAAGGATTTTCTTCTACGTAATCTGTGCCAGTCTTCCAAAATGGGTCATACTGATCCACATAGCCTCTCATTCTATCCTTTATTACAAACCCTACTTAACTGTCCAGCACAGATGTCCAGCTTACAAGCCAGTAATTGCTTGCTTTCTGCATGTAAATCAGGGTAGGAGTGCAATATAGTTACTTACAATATAAATTATGGTATTTTTTCTAAATCTTTCTGCTCTATGTGCTTATTGATCAATTAATTTGTTCCAAATTATTATGTTCCAAAGGATGTTATATGGTAACAAAAAGTTCCAAAGGATGTTATATGGTAACAGAAGAAAGGAAAGCAGTTCTGAGAGCTACTGAATGATCCATGTTGTCAAACTCCAACTACCTGGCTTTTAGAAAAGACACTGATTATAGTTTGTATTGGTTAGCTCCAAGGTAAGAAGCATTTCTCATTGCTTGTGATCACGTATTTGATAAATCCGGGCTGACCGAAGCAAATACCGACTCGTGCAAAGAGGATTTATAGATCATATACTTTGTCTGGTGGGCAGAGCATCCTTCCATGGAGCCACACGCGTAACGAACGTAAGCCATGGGAAGCGACAAACTGCGATTACACGGCCGAGGGAGCAGGACGGGGGGCGTTTCGCAGGCTCTGGGGGGGGGGGGGGGGCGTAACATGCAGTTACCTATATCCCAGTTGTCTGCAGGGGGGGGGCGTGGCCTAACTCCTGGGGGCGTGGAAGGGGCGTGGCCAATGCAGCCTTCCTCCGTCCGCGCCTGCGTGAGCACCCGGAAGTGGTAGGTGCGTGCCGGCGGTCATGGCCATGGCGGAGAAGTTCGACTCGCTGGAAGAGCACCTGGAGAAGTTCGTGGAGAACATCCGGCAGCTCGGCATCATCGTCAGCGACTTCCAGCCCAGCAGCCAGGCTGGGCTCAACCAGAAACTGTGAGGCACCCGGCGCTCCTCCTGCGTTACACGGCCAGGCCGCCGGGCCTCGCCGCCGCCGCCCCCCCTCAGCCGGCAGCCTCGGCGTACCGGAGGCCGCTGCCGGCGGGATCTGTCACCCTAACGCAGGCGGAGGGCCAGGGGGGCTCGCCGGGGTTTCCCTCGCAGCCGGGGTTAGGGTTAGCGCAGTACCGCCCTTTCTTGGCTGAAAACAACCCGTTTTCTTCTTACAGAAATTTCATGGTGACGGGCTTGCAGGATATCGACAAGTGCCGGCAGCAGCTGCATGATATTAGTGTGCCCCTGGAAGTGTTTGAGTAAGTAACATTCTGCCTAGAAGGAAAGGTGCTGTACTTGGGTGATATGAAATAGTGTGTCTTTGCTGCTGAGGGTGGTGAGGCACTGAAACAGGGTGCCCAGAGAAGTTGTGGCAGGCACATCCCTGTCAGTGTTCAAGGCCAGGCTGGTTGGGGCTTTGAGCAAACTGGTCCAGTGGGAGTTGTTCTTGCCCATGGCATGGGGGGTTGGAATGTGATGGTCTCTAAAGTTTCTTCCAGTCCAGACCAGCCTATGATTCTGTATTTTCACTGAGGACTGCTTGTTTCTTAAACTCCATTTTTCAAATGCCTCATAAGAACATGAGCGGGCAGAAGAAGGTAAGAAGTACCTTCAGTCTGTGGAAAGGCAGGAGAGTAAGAGAACTGATTAATTATATGTCTGCTTTCAGATCTCTCTTTTTATTCTTTTTGTTTGGTTTTGGGTTGTTTGGGTATTTGTTTTGTGGTTTTTTTTTTTCTATTTTTTTATTTATGCCGACTTTAGATATGTAGATATTAATACAGAGTTTGCTGAGCCTAGTGGTTTGGTAGGTAAGCTTTCATTTTGGAAATGTGCTTTTACACTAGGGTAGAATCAGGATTTAAAGTTGCAGGTGGAAATACATTAGGCCAGTACTTAGATGCTTTGTTTCAGTAGCGACATTCTTGCTGGCAGAAAATTAGAACATTAAAAGTAAAATCATGAATGTAGAACAAGAGCTATACAAGACAGCTTTTGCAGTGGAGCTGACAAGTTAATTTACTAGTGTTTCTTATAAGTCCAGATGATTCTGGTTTGCTGTATTCTAGTGTGTTGCTGGCAATACAGGGCTTCAGTTAGGCTTTCACTCTATCTGTAAATCCAAGAGTGTTCTTTAGTCAGTGATGGAATTTCCCTTTCTCAAGCGCATACATTGCAAAGCAGAAATACATTTCTGTATCTGCCGATTAAGGTGTGCCCTGCTTGAACTGTCTTTTGAAAATGGCTGAGTTAAAATGCATTTTTTAAAATGCACATCTCGGAAAATAGTAGTAACAGAAAGACAACAAGGTGAATAATTATGTAGGTAGTATCTTTCTTTTCTATTTTCAGATACATAGATCAAGGCCGCAATCCTCAGCTTTACACTAAAGAGTGTCTGGAGCGAGCTTTGGCTAAAAATGAGCAAGTAAAAGGAAAAATTGACACAATGAAGGTAAACCAGAAATAATGAAAGTAGCAATGTAATAATGTATTTGATAAGTTTTTACTTTCCTGTAGGTGTGTGAGGGGTTTTCACTTGTGCAATTATTGACTCCCTTAGTTCATTTGTATTAGGAATTGCTCTGGATCCCTGTATCTTAATTGATGCTATTGTTTCCTGTTCTAAAAGAAACAGTGTAACTCATCCCACATCTGGCGATGCAGATGTCACTATGATTTTACTCTGGTTAAAGTTGCATGTAGCATTACAGGGTATTTGTTTTTCATATTGAACGCTAGAAAGTACCTCACACAGTTGTAGATTTCTAACTGTGGTGTGTGTAAATCTAGCAATAAGCAAAACGGAAGGGGTATTTTTCCAGTCTTGAATGGGTCTTAAGAGTCTTAAAATGTTAAATGTACTCCATAAGCATGAGTTAATCTTTATAAATTTATTTAAAATATATGAAAGTGTTTGGGGTTTTCTGAACCTGTACTTTCATTTAGTATGAATCCAGGCATTCTGCTGCATTGATTAACTGCTGGAATTACTCCTGAAATACACCTTCAGAAAAGGAAGTTTAGTGAGATTTGAGAAAGGGCTGTTTGTGTTTCAAAACATTCATTAGCTGAACTTAAAAGTAGTGCTGCAGAATGTAGATACTTGATATGCTTTGTGTTTGTAAAAGCTGTAGGAAGAATTGCGTATTTCTAAGCCAGGTGTGAGTTCTGGTGGTGGAGGGGATTCCATGTCAAATCAAGGGGATGTCCTTTATCAGCTTTGCTTAATAAGATCAGGCAGATGTTGATGCATCAGAGTTTACCAGAGAGGTCTAACTATTTTGTATTTCTTAGGTGAAAATACTAGTTAATTTAAGGGAAGCTGAAAGCATTTTAGTTTGCCTCGTGCTTTCTTAGTAGATTTCATCAGAGCATTTTCTGTAAATTTTATAAATATAACTATGTATTTCTGTGTGTGGTTTTGAGGTATTTTTGGGGGGGTACCATTCTCTTAGGTCATTGAAATGTAGTGTTGTATACAAACACTTCCATTAATTAGATAACATTGCTTGAGAAAATGTAAATAAATCATGCAGGTGGCGTGTATGTTCTGCTTTTTCTCTCCAGAAATTTAAAAGTCTGTTAATTCAAGAACTAACAAAAGTGTTCCCGGAAGACATGGCAAAGTACAAGGCTATTCGAGGAGAAGATCCGCCTCCTTAAGATGGCCTTTGATAGCTCTAAAATTGTCAATTCCATAAACTGACAACACTCTATGTTGGAGAGAGGGAGAATCTGAGCTGTTGCAACAACTGTACTAAGAATGGCAGTGGTGGACCGTGAAGGAGCTCAGTGATTGCTGATGGTTCTGGTCTGAAGCTACTGAATCTTTCTGAAGACTTTTACTCAAAGATTGCCATTGAAACTTTTTGTGGTAATGTGTTCTTTCCTGAAAGCTTCTGGAGATGTCATTGCCTACTGGGCATCACTATGTAGCACTTCCTGCAAAGTACGTTTCCGGAGCAGAAAATCATGGGTTTTGTACTCTGAAAAGTGTGCTCGAGCATTGTGGCTTCAGCCATTTAAAAGAGAAGTGTATTTACTATATTTGACTATTCTTTATTTGTAAACTGCTTTAGTTTTTATTTCAGTACGGTTGACTGCTTTCATCTTAGCAAATTCTGCTGAACAGGAGCCTCTCAAAGGCTGTGGTTCTCCTGTGTGTCGTAATGAATTGCAGCTAAGAAACCCTTCAGATATTCTTGTTTTGTTCTATGAGCTGCAGTTCAGATGGCTGAGAATATAGAAAGTGAGCTTATTTGTGCCCTAGTTCCTCAACAATGTTAATATTTTGTATAGTATTTAATGTAAGCTTTTGCTTGATTCTGTTCATTTTCTGTAAGCGGGTTGTTGAATTAAAAAAAAAAATAAATCTAAATTCTGACATTTTTCTGTTGTATGTTACTCTTTGGAGAATGAAGTGAAGCCTGTGAAAAACAGCATATTCCTCACTGACAGTGAGAGAAGTGAAATTTATATCAAAACTTGGCTGTTAAAAGACTGTATATCTGAAGATAATGTCAACCTGGTATTTCGGTTTTGTGGGGAGACTTCTGTTTTAGTACCTGAAGCAAAAGATTTTGGGCATCAGTGAGTGTCACCCGAAGCATTTCTGATCAACTGCGATCTCATTTGTGAAATCTGTAATTGTTCTGAAATATTCCCAAACATAAACCAGCATGTTGGGCTCACTGCCCTGAGGTGTAGAGCATGTGCTTATCACAGTGGAAGGTTTTAGACTACTCAGTCTCAACACTGATTTATTTTCCATTGCAGTATGCTGCAGACGGTGGTAGGTTTCTGACCAGCATGGGGACCTTTTCTTTTATGTAGTGCAAATTGTGATTAGCATCTTTGCCTGTAGGTGAAGTCTTGAAGAGATGCTGCAAGGATATATTTAATTTGTTTTTCAAGGCATTGGGTTGTGATCACAAATGGTTTTAAAGATGTTTGGGGTCAGAAACAGTTTAAAGTACATTCAAAGTCGATTTTACTTTGAAACAAAGGTGAGGCCTCTGGAGGAACTCTTACTTCTATCTGTGAAGTGCATATTCTCTATTAATTTCTAATTTCACTACATTTATATGTGCATATATATGCAGACATCTCTGTACCTGCTTCCAATTTGTCATGCTAAGCATTATTTCTCTATTAGTAACTTTAGAGACATTAATGTTCTTACATGAGGGTAAAGTTTTCAACCAGGAGGGACCTTATCTTTTTAATTCTTTAATAAAAAATCCAAATACTTAATTTTACATTCTGATTCCTCCTTTGATTCAACTCCTTTGCTGTAATGCCATTCAAAACTTTCAGCTTATAATTCTAGGTTTAAACACCATATTCTAAAATGCAGTCCTCATTCTCAAATTAGTTTTTACACATGATTACTTTGAGACTTCTGTGTTAATGTATAACAATGTTTGGCTGGTAGTGTGAAAATACTATCACAGGATTTACATCCTAGATGTGAGGAGCCTGGCATTGCATGTCTCTATCAGTTTATATGCTGTATCATAGAATAGTTAGGGTTGGAAAGGACCTTAAGATCATCTAGTTCCAACCCCCTGCCATGGGCAGGGACACCTCACACTAAACCGTATCACCCAAGGCCTTGTCCAACCTGGTCTTGAGCACTGCCAGGGATGGAGCATTCACAACCTCCCTGGGCAACCTATTCCAGGGCCTCACCACCCTAACAGGAAAGAATTTCCTCCTTATATCCAATCTAAACTTCCCCTGTTTAAGTTTTAACTCGTTACCCCTTGTCCTATCATTACAGTCCCTGGTGAAGAGTCCCTCTCCAGCATCCCTATAGGCCCCCTTCAGATACTGGAAGGCTGCTAGGAGGTCTCCACGCAGCCTTCTCTTCTCCAGGCTGAACAGCCCCAACTTCCTCAGCCTGTCTTCATACAGGAGGTGCTCCAGTCCCCTGATCATCCTCGTGGCCCTCCTCTGGACTTGTTCCAACAGTTCCATGTCCTTTTTATGTTGAGGACACCAGAACTGCACACAATACTCCAGGTGAGGTCTCACAAGAGCAGAGTAGAGGGGCAGGGTCACCTCCTTCGACCTGCTGGTCACGCTCCTTTTGATGCAGCCCAGGATATGGTTGGCTTTCTGGGCTGCAAGTGTACACTGAAGCTGGCTCATGTTCATTTTCTCATTGACCAACACCCCCAAGTCCTTCTCCACAGGGCTGCTCTGAATCTCTTCTCTGCCCAACCTGTAGCTGTGCCTGGGATTGCTCCGACCCAGGTGTAGGACCTTGCACTTGTCATGGTTAAACTTCATGAGGTTGGCATCAGCCCACCTCACAAGTGTGTCAAGATCCCTCTGGATGGCATTCCTTCCCTCCAGGGTATCAACTGAACCACACAGCTTGGTGTCATTGGCAAACTTGCTGAGGGCACACTCGATCCCGCTGTCCTTGTCAGCGACAAAGATGTTAAACAAGACCGGTCCCAACACCAATCCCTGAGGGACACCACTCAGCTCAGAGATAATGAGCTATACATGGTATGGCTTTTTTGTAATGTGTTCTTTCTATGCCTTTATTTCAATCTGTATTTTCCCATATAAACTAATAATGGATTAATACTGTAATGTATGGATTTACTGCTACTGCTGGTAGGAAGAGAAGGCATGAGGAGGAAAGGTGCACCAGAAAGAGGATTTGTCCTTTGAAAATAGAAGCACTGAACAGAATTCAACGTTTAACTTCCTGACTATTATATATTTTTGCATGTGCTGAAAATCTCCTTAACAGAAAAGTGTGTGTTGTTCCCATGCATCACAGCTGCCCTCTGCCTGCTATGCAGCTGAATCGTTTCTCCGCAACCCTGGTACTTTCCATCTCTTAAGAGCACCACATGGCAGGGTAAGATGACATTCTTTTTGTTAGACAATGGTGAAAGAGAAGCTATGTTCCTAGAATCTGTGAATTTTCTGTGCTTTGGTGTGCTTAATGTGGGAAGCCCTTGGAATTAGTTGAATTTTCCAGAGAGGATCCTTTCTGTCTCGGCTATAACCTTTACGTCACTCCACAGGAATACCAATGTGCTTTTGCATAAGGCAGTCTCCTATACCTTTGTGGAAAAGGCTGTTAATTTTGCTACCATTAAAACCCCATCATTCTTCTAGAAATCCTGAGCCAAGGACTTGGACTACATCTATGCATTTGATTTGTTTGTGAAGCATTGTTCAGTTTTGGCCATGTTCTCTTCATACCGGTGCCACATTATGTATTTGATTGTGCCAGCTACACAATGTCCTAGCAAGGCCTTGTGCATTCTTTCTTCTCACTGCTATTATGCAGCATTATTAAAGTTGCTGAGTAAGTTGATTTTGCAGAAGGCACAGGAGTGGCAGAGGATTCTAAAAAATAACAGCTCTCACACTTCCATAGCCAGAATCATAGTACCTTCCAGGGTCCATTTTATAAAAATGCAATAGGAATTATTATTTTTTTTTAAGCTTTACTCTGTTGTTATCCCGATTAACAAAGATTCTTCTACTCTGAATTTCAGCATTTAACAATTATTCTACCGTGTAAAGGGTAGTATTTTCTACAGTTTGTACATTTCCCTCTGCATCTTGCTTTTTTCCTTTATCTCACAAGAATTAGTTGTTACCAAATCATACTTACTGGACGCTATTGAGAGTATTTTGACATCATTCTGGGTGCAGGAGATGTTAAGAAGGCTGAAGGGCTGCAGTCTGCCTTTGCATGCTGGCCATAGCTTCCCACAGGGTTTAGAGATCAGCTTGGAGCAGTGGGGGGCCATGGGGGACAGATGCTTCCACAGCCCCTAAAAAAAATGTGAAATGTCTGCTCTTTTACAATTTTTTGTTGTTGTCAGTTACTAAGTACCCAGTGCTGGCCACAGTGAAGATGGTTAGCCCCATAACTGATGTCCATGCTTGCTCATGGCAGGAAGGTCCCAGGCTTCCCTGGCTCAGAGAGAGGTGATTTACAGACAATGCATGGACTATACATTTCCTCTGGATATCTAGGTGGTTGTGGTAAATGTGGTGCCTGGAGTAGTTAGTGGAGATGGAGGATTAGGGAATAATATTCCTTATAGGTGATATCATGGGATTGGATTGATAGGGAATCTGTGTGTTTAAGAAAACATTATCTTATTCTGTTTTTTTGGCTTGAGGGTTATGTATATCAGGAATAATAAAAAACTAAACCAGCAAACAGAAGAAAGTGCTAAACCATGAAGTTCCACATTCTGCTCAGCTCCAGTTCTAAATTTGTGACACTATCTCATTCTATTGTTCTGTACTTGCTTCACTCATGTCTCTAGGCTGGCCATCTTGCTATTGCTGCAACTGCCCCAAACAGTTCATAGTCAGCATAATATGGAAGAGAGGTAACTGTTGTAATTTATGTGTGTTTAAGAAAAGAAAATGTCAAAATAAGTGCATTTGGGTTGATTTTGTAGAACAAGAATGCTGTTTACCATTACCAGTTGCATATGAAACACAAAAATCAAACCTACTTTTTCTCTAGTTTGTTAATTGATTCTCTGAAAAGGAGCATATGTACAAATGACACTGATGATGTATGCTCTGTTAGATGATAACCTTCAAGACATTTGTTAAAGGAGAAAGTTACATCTTTGCTCTTTCCCATTTTGTTACCTGGATTGTACAGAGGGAGGTTATCTTGAATTCTATTTAAAAATAACATCAATGTAACATCAGTCAGGCCACAAAGCATCTAAAATCATTAAAGGGCAACAGAAGCTTAGCTAAAAGGAAGGTATGAAAGCCTATGAGCATTAAGAATTTAAAGTGTATTTTTGAATTTAATGAAGATTCTGGAAATAATAGAGAAAAAGTAACTGCAGGTAATTGCTTATTTTTTAAATAATTGTCCTTATCCACACACTACAAAATGAAGATATATTAGATAATGCTGCTGGACTCTTTAAGATGGAGAGTGTGCTCCTATACTCCATTTAGGATAAACAAAGGCAGTATAAAATTCTTGATCGGTTTCTGTTGAAGAAAAGAAGGTGCAAGGGATTTTACTGCAACCTGTTAAAGTTCAGCATTCTCTCTGTCCTTTTTGCTACTGGAAGCAGAAGCAGGCGGGTGCCCAGCCTTCCTCCTTGAAACCTTCTGATGAAGAATGCCTAATGTAAAGATGTGAAGTCTAACAGGTAAAGATATAACCTGTTACATGAGTTACATGCTGCATCTGATCAGCTGTTTGTATATCTAACCCACAGCTCTTGCTAGGTTTTTTCCCTCCAGACTAAGGCACTTTCATTTTTAGCCAGTTCTCAGAATAATGCAAAGAACCAGTGCATGTGAAGCAATTTGTTTCTCTCATAATGTCCAGATGTTTCTTGATGC